AGTGCTGGGGATAAAACCACCTCATGCATGCTAGGCAAGTCCTCTACCACTGAGTTATATCCCCAGCCCTAGACTTCAATTCTTTTTTTTTTTTAATTATATGCATATATATATTTCTGACATCAGACAAAAGCCACTAGCGAATTCAAAACAGCTCTGATGGCTAAATTTGGAGTCATGCTGCCTTTATTTTAAATTATTCAGTGTGCTCCATAGCCTCAGCCTTTTCTACATTCTGCTACAGCTTGTTTTTTGACAGGCAGAATCAGTGAATCCCCCACAAGCCCTCAACCACTTTATCCTAGTGACCAGTCTCTAAGAGTCTATTGCTACATTCTTCCCAGCGAGTAACTCCCCCATTCTCTACCAATACCAACTTCCACTCCACCACTGTATCTGCTGGCAGGAAAACAGAATGAGACCAAAACCCATCCTGGTGATAGTGGAGTGGGATGTAAGTGTTCCATCTCCCAAGATTCTCATGGTCTCCAGTTATTGCAATGAATTGCCTATCAGTGCCTGTGACGTAATGCACCTGAAACCTGATATTAACTGGCTGAGACTCTGAAGCCATTCTTGTGACCTTTTTTGTTTTCCCACTCACTTCCCAACCTCTTGCCTCCACAAGAGTGCTTCTGCCACTGTCCATTGAGGCCTCAAGACTGCCACCCAAACCCACATCTCCCCAAGATGAGTGCCTAGACACCATTTCCCAGTCCTCATGCTCAGTGAGGTCCTGCTGTCCAACTGCAAGACTCACTTCTGTAGCTCTGACCACGAGCAGGTTGCTAGAAGGCAACTCCTCTGCAAACCATGTAGCTGCTTTAGCGGGTGTGTCATGTTCTTTTTGGAATCTCCATTCTCCTATGTGAGATTCAAGGCTTTTTTTTCTTGAAACTTGAGAGTAACCCCTGGAGTTAGCCGTCTCAGATGTAGCTAGAGACTGTGTGTCTGGTATCTGTCTAGCAGGAGCATGCTGTCTTGCAGTGTCCCAGTATTCTCCGGAAGGATTCTGTAGTCTCTGTGATGCTTCTTGTAGGTTACCAAGACCTTTGTGCATTAGCTGGTGTTATGCCAATGTAGTTTTGAAGTTTGTTAAGGCAACATGATGAAGTCAGTCCATCCTTACTGAAAGACGTGGCTGTGTCCTTACCTTATCTCAGAAATCAAATGTCCATTGCTTTCTTGAAGATGCTCTGGTTTGATGACCTCCTGCTTGTAAGGTGCGGGGCTCAATCCACCCCTGCCAGCACCCTGATGGCTTCCCGGAGCTGCAATATCAGTGTTCTTATGCTGCTCCGTGTCCCCGTCCTTTCTGTGGTCCCCGGGGTCGCCCTGCAGCAGCCAAATGAAAAGCGCTCCTTGCAGACCTGCTCGGACCAGCAGGGCTGCCCAGACGGAGCCCGTGGCTGAGAGGCCGCGGGAGACAAGGAGAACCCGGACAAGGGCTCGGATCTCGCAGGCAGAGCCACCTAGACTTCAATTTTTGTGTGTAAAGGGAGGGGAGAGATTGTGGGTGGTATCTTTGGATTCCTCCATATATGCCAGTCCTCTTTCGATTAGAAGGGACCATTCAACAAGTTTTAGACAATGAGCTGTGAACAGAACAGACATATTTCACTTCCAGCCTGAAGCAAAGCAAAGCACACACCATTTTTCAGATCTGTCATTCCTCTTTTTTCTTATTCTTTATCTATTTATTTCAGCGCCGGGGTTAGATCCTAAGGGCACTTTACCACTGAGCTACACCTACAGCCCTTTTAAAGTTTTTGAGGTAGGGTATCCCTAAGTTGCCCAGACTGACCTTGGACTTGTGGTCCTCCTGCTTCAACGTTAGCAACCAGATAATGGAAGGTTCTTGTGGCTCAGTAAGCAAAGTGTAGCTGCCCAAGGCTTTTAATCTGGAGAGTGATTTGAAGGAAAAAAAAAGCGTGAATGATAATTTGCTGACAAGAGCAGGATCTATGGCTAATGGGTGAGGGTTAAGAAAGAGCAATCAGTTAGGGAAAAGGTAGATAGTTTCTCGTGCCAAAAGCATCAGTAATTAGAATTTATAGCTGAAAGTTCACTTATACCATTGCCTATTAATCTATATAATCCTAAAAGATAATCAATGTTCTATTTGCCACTTGAAAATCCAGTCTGAGGGAGGTTGGTGATTGGCACTTACGAATAAGGCAAAACAAGTGCTTTGGTTTCATTCATCAGTTTGTTCATGCAATCTTATATGATTTGATTCGTAACTAAAACACTTTTTTTTCTGAATCCTGCTAGACCAGTGATTGCAGACCTTTGAATCATGAGTCAAAAAAAGAATAATTTTTGCCTGGAGAGGTGCTTCTTGGGGGAGCCAATAAAAACATGTTCTCTGGTGTTGTGTGTTATGCCTTATTGTCTTCTGCCAAGATAATAAGTACTGAATTTAGAAACTATACACAGGGTGCCATACGAATAACATTCAAATATATAAATCTCTTAAGTGCTGAGGACTGAACCCATGGCCTTACGTATGCTAAGGCAGGCACTCTACCACTGAACTACATCATCAGTTACTCCAATATAATTTTAACTGAAGTAAAAATTTTAAATGGTTGTGAAAACAGTTTTGGGTTATGTATCACTATGAAAAATTTATGACTGTCAGCATCTCCTGGGATACCTGTAGCCTGTTTATTCCAGACCATGGTGTTATGGTGCACGATTACAGAAGCTCTGGGCTAGACACTGTGCTGTGAGCTGGAAATACAAAGATGAAGGAGACCCTACTCAACAGAATTAAGTCTAGCCAGCAAAACCCCAACAGGACAATTATTTCAATGGAGCTCGTTAAACTTGGTGACAGAGGTGTATTTAGGATACATCTAAATTATTCTAGAGGAATGGGGCTCTGTTAACCATACTCTCTCCCTCCCTTTCTTTTTGGTACTGTGGATGGAACCAAGGGGCACTCTACTACTAAGTTAAATCCCCAAACTTTTTATTTATTAAAATTTGAGACAGGGTCTCCCTGAAGTGTGGAGGCTGCTCTTGAACTTTTTCCTTCCTTTCTTCCTTCCTCCCTCCCTTCCTTCCTTCCTTC